GGAGGGCAACGTTAATCACCCCGCGCAGGAATAGAGGCTGGGAAAACCCCCACAGTGGATGTACTCCTGGAACTAGAGGCAAGAGCTGACGCTGCTGACATATATAGAAGCAAGCTGCACTGTTTGGGTTTTTTTTATTTATATAGCAGCAACGGGCGCGGCGGCACAGCCAAATGAGCGTGGTCACAAGCGCGTTCACAGCAGCAAGTGCCTCGAATGTGAAAACGCATGCGCTCAGCTAAAGCCTCCCCCCCCCCTCCTCCTCTATCTCTGCTGAGCCTCAAGCCCCTGCGCTGCTTTCCACTCGGTCACACACACCGCACACTCGGCTGTTTACTTTGCCGGGAACCTTTGATCACTCACAAGAGTGCAGCACGGATTGAGCCAACACAATGGGATTGTGACAACCTTGGGCACCAGCTAGGGTGGAATTTCTTCTGGAATGCACGCTTGGCAGGCGATTTATATTTGTAACAAAAAAATAGCTGGGGTAAAAACCAAGTTCACTCCTGACAGTAGTGGATCTAACAGGTGGGGGACAATTCCCACCCCCCATACCCCCCCCCCCACTCGACCACCCCCCCCCCCCCCCACACAACCTGAGCCCCCCAAAAATGGTATTCTATTGATACTTACCAGATAAAATACACTGAATGATGATTTTGTTTAATTAATGCAGGGCCCTATTTTAACTGACTGCTTGCACACAGATAAAACCACAACACCTCGCCGATCTCGTCAAGGAGCACATGAACCATCGTGCGACCTCCGGTCGACCATCCTCGCAGCAGCAGTGGCTTTCGGCTGGCTGTGGAACAAAGACGGTGGTGGTCACCGCGTCGCGCTCTTTCAGATGCGCTTCTGCGGCCGTCTGGAATGCTCTTCCTTCCGATATCAGGAAGCCACTGGGAGGAGGCGCGCAATTTTTAATCATCTAGATTGAAAACTAACTTCTTGAGAACTGCTTTTTGCGCTTAGTTTGTTGTCCTTCCCCCGCACCTCCGATTAGCACGGTTGGCTGCGTCCGGTGCGAAAGAAATTCAACGTGCATACATAAAACAGGTCAGGCCCCCACCCCCCCCCCCCAAACTACCTCCCCCTTCCCCCCCCCCTGGGGAGTTTATAGATTCACCTCCGACTCCTGGACAACAGATTGCCGATGCCTTGCGCTCGTGACTCACACACAAACCACGCGAAGTTTAAATCTTGACTTAAAGCTTTCGTGACTGCAGGAATTCATATTCTTGGGTCTTTCGGTAAAGTCACGTAGCTAGGTTCAAAGAAAATAACGATTGTTATATTTTTTTTGTTATTTTCTTTGAACCTATCCACGTGAATTTACCGAAAGACCCAGGAATACACACCAAGTTTCTGTCTCGATGGTGTGGTCCTCTATTACGAGCTTAGTAAACAAAAACCAAAATACCGGTCAGACCACATTACAACGTCCAGCAGGTACAATCTCGGGCCATCTTTGCTAAAAGATTGTTTTTGCTAAAACATTGCCCCTGTCCTAGATCCAGGCTCAAGATCTTTCTCTGCTTATGACAGTGACCTCTCATTTAAATAAATGCGTCGGTGACTCACCATGTGGCGTGATATATATTTTTAAACTGCCGTCTTGTGATACAGCTGCATTTGGATGGTGTGCAAATCAAATTTGTATTCCATCGCATTTATACGGCTGGAATACATCGGCGATGCATCGTACATTTCAGTACAATATAACCCCCCTCCATAGAGTCCAATGTGTAGTGCATAGTGTAGTGTACAGCAGTGTAGTGTATAGTATAGCAGTGTCGTGTATAGTAGCGTAAAATAGAACCCCTCTTAACGGCCACCTCTGTTAACGACTAATCACTTAACGAAGAGCCCCCATAGAGCCCAATGTGTAGTGTATAGTGTAGTGTATAGTAGTGTAGTTACCTCCATAGAGCCCAATGTGTAGTGTATAGTGTAGTATATAGTAGTGTAGTTACCTCCATAGAGCCAAATGTGTAGTTTATAGTGTAGTGTATAGTGGTGTAGTGTATAGTAGTCTAGTTACCTCCATAGAGCCCAATGTGTAGTGTATAGTGTAGTGTATAGTAGTGTAGTGTATAGTAGTGTAGTTGCCTCCATAGAGCCCAATGTGTAGTGTATAGTGTAGTGTATAGTAGTGTATAGTGTAGTGTATAGTAGTGTAGTTACCTCCATAGAGCCCAGTGTGTAGTGTATAGTGTAGTGTATAGTAGTTATATTGTATAGTAGTGTATAGTAGTGTAGTGTAATGTGTAGTGTAATGTATATTGTATAGTAGTGTATAGTAGTGTATAGTGTAGTGCATAGTGTAGTGTATAGTGTAGTGTATAGTAGTGTAGTGTATAGTGTAGTGTATAGTGTAGTGTAATGTGTAGTGTATAGTGTAGTGTATAGTAGTGTAGTTACCTCCATAGAGCCCAATGTGTAGTGTATAGTGTAGTGTATAGTAGTGTATAGTGTAGTGTATAGTAGTGTAGTGTATAGTAGTGTAGTGTAATGTGTAGTGTATAGTGTAGTGTAATGTGTAGTGTATAGTAGTGTAGTGTATAGTAGTGTATAGTAGTGTATAGTGTAGTGTATAGTAGTGTAGTGTATAGTAGTGTAGTGTATAGTAGTATAGTGTATAGTAGTATAGTGTATAGTAGTGTATAGTGTAGTGTATAGTTTAGTGTATAGTAGTGTAGTGTAATGTGTAGTGTATAGTAGTGTAGTGTAATGTGTAGTGTATAGTGTAGTGTATAGTAGTGGAGTGTATAGTAGTGTAGTGTATAGTAGTATAGTGTATAGTAGTGTAGTGTATAGTAGTGTATAGTGTAGTGTATAGTTTAGTGTATAGTAGTGTAGTGTAATGTGTAGTGTATAGTAGTGTAGTGTAATGTGTAGTGTATAGTGTAGTGTATAGTAGTGTAGTGTATAGTGTAGTGTATAGTAGTGTAGTGTATAGTGTAGTGTATAGTAGTGTAGTTACCTCCATAGAGCCCAATGTGTTCGCTTACCGACCACTCCCCTGTTAACAATGGGCTTAGGCGATCTAACCCAAAAACCATTATTATGAATAATATTGGTCGCGAAAGCCTACGTGTTAAATGATGGGCTGTTGCAGGTACAGCAAATATTAATTAATGCATTGAATAACCATGTTTATTTAAATATTATGTGTTTATAATGTTGTTAGCATCTTTAAGAATTAATATCCAATGTTTAAATGTCATAAATGACTTTTTTTTGGGGTGAAAAAGGGTCAACTTCCGATGCTATCGAAACGAATTAAACCTTTAACGTCCTTTTCCTATACTCTCGTTCAACGTGGAACCAATAACCGTCGTTAAGAGGGGTTGACTCAAGAGTGCCAACTTTGAGGACCGTTTGTGAAAAGCTGTAGGCATCGTGCAAGTCGAAACGGCACTGCAGGAGATGGCAGATCAGCAACAGACTCTTGAATCAATGTGTGCGGAGCTTGGAGTTGTTACCCCCCCCCCCCCCCCGTCGTATGCGTGGTGGGTAATTCTATGGGTTCTCTCGTATCCCTCCTCCCATACGATGCCAAATAATGCCCTCCCCGATGGAATTTGTCCATTGACTTCGATGCAAATTTCCATCGTTAGCTCAGGGGGCTGTGAGTGGAGATGAGTAATGTAATGCTCATTTGAGCAACAAGTTACTGAGAGACTGTACCTTAACCGCCCATCTAATGTGCTGTGTGTGTGTACTGTATATATATCCGGCTGGTATTAAATGGCATCTTCAGTAATTAATAGAGTTTTTTTGGGTTAGATCGCGTAAATACAAATGTGTCGTTAAACCCACCACCACCCGACACAGCCAATCAGTATGGTTTGTCAAGTTAACTAAACATGCCAGTTCGCCTGATGATGCTGGTTGTAATTACTGGCGAAACGTTGTACTCGAATTGTAAATGATGTGGGTTCACTCTCCAACACGCCGGTGTGCTGTACTAGTAACTAATTGGCACGTTTAGTTTACGTGACAAACCTTACTAGTTGGCTGTCGGGTTTAACGGCACATTTATATTTACACGATCTAGCCCAAAAAAAAACTCTATTGTGGATGATATTCGTCGGGAAAGCCTACGTGTTAAACTGATCTTCAGTAATTGTCTGTTCAAGTTAAGTGTTGCGTGTGTTTTGGAATAATGCCAACAACACAGCTAGAGACGCTTGAGAAAATAAATACAATGCACTTTCATTGTTTGTGTTGAACCACGAATGTTTTCAGGAAGAAATGTACGCGTTAAACAACCACCATGGGTGTCGGGACAATCACCCAACATTTGTAGATGTGGCTAAGAGACACCCACAGCATTTGGGACAATAAATCCTCGCCTTTTTTGAGTCTGCATTTTTTTTTCTTCCTCCGTCAACACGGCGGCATTCAACGCCAATTGCGTTGAAGAGAAAAGCTTAAACTTACGCAGTGGCACACCAGCAGGTGACCGAGTCAGTTGGCTTTAGTTAAGCAGATTTAATTTTGATCATCGTGCAGTATAATTAGGGGGGTTGAACTTCAGGGATCCTATCGGAAAATTAATTTTGTGGGCGCATCGCTGACAAGATGTTAACTACCTCGCCTGGTACACAGGAGGTCGTGGGTTCGATCCCGACCCTAACACCTGTAAATTTGGAGTTTGCGCGTCTCTCTCAATGTGGTCGCGTGGATTTTTCTCCCGAGCCCTCCGGTTTTTCCCTCCACATATATAATCGTCCGTTTAGAGTATTTGGCCGCTATAAATGTCCACGTGACAAGCCACTTCGTTGAGCTATCATTTGTGGCCAGGTCGCTTCTGAAAAGGAGCTGTATAGCTTCAGTGGGCCTTGCCTGGTTAAAATAAACATAGGTTATATCACAGGGAACCAGTCGCGAGTAGGACGACACCGCAAGCTTCCACAGTGTGGGTGCCCCCCCCCCCCCACCGTGTTCAGATTACGTCCGCACATTCCTTAAACCAGACAGCTCGTTACCTCTTGAATTCCGGGAGTACTTTAAACTGCCGGAGAAGTCCACGCCTTTCTTTTTCACGGCCCTGGAATGGAAGGTGTGGCGATTGACCCCGCGTCGGACGGTGAAAGAACTCGTCATCTCCTGCTCCCCGTCGCCATAATCCTTGACATCGGAGGAGCTGAAGGAAGACCTCTTCAACATCGTGTGCTCCAGCTCCTCGCGCAGCCGACCGATTTGCCTTCTCGGTCCGTCCAGCTCGGCGTCAAACAGACCACCGAAGGCTCCGTCCGTTCTCACATCCACCGAGGAGCTGTGGTCTTCCACCTGTTCCTTGCCGTCCACCGTGGTCCGTACCACTTTCCTCGTGACCACAGTGCAGCTGTCGTTGCTGGCCGCTTGGAACTCAAGATTCTTCGGGGGCATGGAGGCCCACCGCGGCCGCCACGCGTTAGTGCTCCCCTTCCCGTCCGCCGGCGATCCACCGGAGGGACCGCCAAACTCCCGGTCTTCATCCATAACGCCGCTGAGCCTCCATGTGACGCACGCAGGATAGTAAAACACACACCCACGCACGATAAAAAAAAAGCAAAACCAACCGTTATTTTAAATTATTTCCAGGGGCAATAGCAACACATTCTAGCGCTGTGGTTAAAGCGCTGTGGTAGAGGAGCCCGCGGGACGTGAATTCACATCCCAGTTGTGGGCAACCCTGTAGTGACTTCGTTTAAAAGGAGGGGAGGGCACTCAAAACTTGAGGGTGGAGAGCACGACAAAATTAAAATTCAAACAAACGTTAAACAAACAAACGCTAAACGTGGAATGAGCAATATGACTCGCTTTTGTCTTACCATGCCTTCTGCTCCATCTCTCACCACCCTCTATGTACATGAGGTAAAAGGCTGTATGTAGTACTGACATATCTGACTTGTGTGTAAGAAGTTGTCAGTTTGACTTCAAAGAACAATGTTGGATTCAGTCACGGGAAGGCGGCACACGCACTGCGGATGTGCAACTAACTTCAACTGTTTTTTTATTTGACCAGGTAAGGCCCGCTGAGCTGAATAGCTCTTTTTTTCAGAAGCAAACCTGGCCATAAATGATAGCTCAACGAAGTGGCTCATCCCGTGCGGTAATGTGTCGCAAACAAATACTCCAAATGCGTGTCGATTCTAAATGCGGAGGGGACCAAAAAAAAAAAAACCCGGACAACCCGGAGAAAAATCCACGAAGCTGCGCAGGCTGAGCCTACTGCCATGGCATCATGGGAAAAATCGAAGACAGACGGCCAAGAGGAAGACAAAGACGGATGCGGTGGGAGGGCGGGGAAGGGGGATGACATCGATTAACAAGCACCCGCCCAGCACGGCGAACATCAGGTGAGTTTGTGCCGAGAGGGATGCTCTGCCATTTTCTTGACCGTTGACCTCCAACCCCCGGAGGGAACACCCAAGGACGGACTTGAATACTTAACCCTTTTCCCCATGACGTACGTGTACATCGTCGGAACGGAACCGGAAGAAAAACTGAAAACAATGTTATCGGTACCGAGGCTCCCCACAAGGCCGCGCGGGAGGGCGCGTGGCACAGTTTGGCGCCAGCTATCGTAGCGTTGCGGTCGTGTCGCTACAGTTCTCTGCGGTGAGTGCAACGTCTTTGAAAACAACGGCGCCACGCCTCTCTAAATAAAATTAACGGCGAACCGCTTTCGCATTCCGCGACTCGGCGGTGAACGGGGATACGCCCACCCTGCAACTTGTAGACATATCGGAACGGGAAACGGTTAATAGCTCGGAAGGAAAAAAAGTTGTTGTTCTCACTGGGATGGAGATTTTCATACAGGTGACGCCACAATCACTGGGACGTTATAGCTCTTAATAACACGAGCTCGTAAAGATGGAGAGCACCATAAACTTAAAAGGTTCCCACTCCATTTAACAACCTGTCAGAGTCCATAGCCAAGGTAATATCCCCCGGTTAAAAATTATTGGGTTTACGGTTAGCCGGGCTCTTCCTGTGGAGGAGCTAAAGGAATCCGCACGCTAGAAGTGTAGATGCTTGTGCAATCTATAAACGGCAAACTTCAACTTGGGTATGATGGATACACCAATACATAATAATCACCGTCATCATCAGCCATGATCATTCCAAAGCTCGATGAAGGTTTGGCAAGGCCGTCACTGTCTCCCATGGCCCTGCGATGTAATGATCCGCCTAGCAGCTGCACGAGCCGGTCCCATTGCTCACTCTCCTCAGTGGACGCTCTCTCCGGCGCGTTCGCTCATTCGGTTGCCGAAGGCGGTGAACATCGCCGGCCATCTCCTCTCCTCGTCACGTGGCCTGTCCAAGCCCAAAGCCAAATAATAAACCCAATAATAATAATAATAATAACCCACAGTACATCAAATAATAACAATAGTATTTTCTAATTTAATCTGAAAGAAGACCCAACAAATGTAATTATCGAATAAATAATACAATATTTGGTGGTGCAAAAGCACAAAATAACGATTCAACCGGATTTATCCCGCTGCCACGCGTGGTCCCCACTCGACCGGGGAAAGGAGTTCCAACGTCTTCGTAAAGCGGCGTCGTCGCGGAGAATTTGAATTCCCGCGGAGTTTCTGTTCCCCCCTCCACCCTTCCCCAATATCGATCGGCGTATTGTACCGGGCCGCTTGTTTCGTCTCAATGTGTAAACACAAACAAACAAACAAAACAAATGTGTCAATAACACTGCCGCCTTCAAATGAAAATATATACGACGTCATTTTCGGCAGTGGCGCCGCTCTCCTTCGTAGCACACGATGTGCCCACGATAGCGCGCCACGCGGTTTATGGCGTCGTTATAAATAAGATCGAACACATTTTTTTTTTCCACTTGCTGATAAATACACAAAGGGAGTCAAACAACTTGCTCCATCTACCTCCTATTGCTTCAATATGACACGTAACATTAACATTGTATTGTCATCATCATCATAATGCACAGGTTGAATGATCTTCAATATCTAACCAAAATAAAGCCATTGCAGTTCAATATCAGAATCATTTGGATTTGAATTAACGACTTCCGTTTTTATTCATATTCTTAGCTCTTTCGGTAAAGTCACGTTGAAGGGAAACAATAAAATAATAAAATATATATGTTTTAACAATAAGAATATGAATTACTGCAGTCACGAAAGCTTTAAATAAAAATTTAAGACTTCCATTTTGCCGATGTGCGCATCTCCTTCATGAACATTAAATTATTGACAAGCCGCAGTGCGACTGTGGCCATAGAGATACACTCATAGAGACACACAGAGACTCATAGAGACACACAGAGACTCATAGAGACACACAGAGACTCATAGAGACACACAGAGATACACTCATAGAGACACACAGAGATACACTCATAGAGACACACAGAGATACACTCATAGAGATGTACAGAGATACACTCATAGAGACGCACAGAGATACACTCAGAGACGCACAGAGACTCACAGAGACACACAGAGACTCATAGAGACACACAGAGACTCATAGAGACACACAGAGATACACTCATAGAGACACACAGAGACTCATAGAGACACACAGAGATACACTCATAGAGACACACAGAGATACACTCATAGAAACACACAGAGACTCATAGAGACACACAGAGATACACTCAGAGACACACAGAGATACACTCATAGAGACACACAGAGACTCAGAGATACACTCATAGAGTTACACAGAGATACACTCATAGAGACACACAGAGACTCATAGAGACACACAGAGATACACTCATAGAGACACACAGAGACTCATAGAGACACACAGATATACACTCATAGAGACACACAGACTCATAGAGACACACAGACTCATAGAGATACACAGAGATACACTCATAGAGACGCACATAGACTCATAGAGACACACAGAGATACACTCATAGAGACACACAGAGATACACTTATAGAGACACACAGAGATACACTTATAGAGACACACAGAGATACACTCATAGAGATACACAGAGATACACTCATAGAGACACACAGAGATGCACTCATAGAGACACACAGAGATACACTCATAGAGATACACAGAGATACACTCATAGAGACACGTAGAGATACACTCATAGAGACACACAGAGACTCATAGAGATACATTCAAGGTAAGCCACAGTGTGACTGTGGCCATACAACACAAACTACAGACCATATAAGCAAACCACTGCAGTCTGCGCTCCCTCAACAGAGGAGAAATAGCAAAACTACCAAATTCTCTCTCCTGAAAGCGCGCTCGTGACTAGCAGACCTCCACATTGCCATTTAGCTCCTGAACGTATTGCTTCCATATGCAAGATCAGAATCAGAATCATAAAATCGAAACAATAGACAGACTAACAGGTTAGTAAAAAGGTGGACGGACATAGACAATCACCGACAGAGAACACCAAGAGACAAGAGAGGAGACATCCGGACAGCAAATTAAAACACAGCTTACGTATAACAGGAGAGTCAAAAATTATAACAGGGTTATTTTATTTTGATTTAAAGCTTTCGTGACTGCAGGGATTCATCTTCTTGCTTCTTTCGGTAAAGTCACGTAGAAGGGAAATAATAAAATAATAAAAATCAACCGATACTTTGCTTTTATTATTTTATTTCCCTTCTACGTGACTTCACCGAAATAACCAAGAAGAGGGTCATTTTAATGTTACCAAGATTTACGAAGAGATGTACAAAATTGAGAAACTGAATGACCTTCTTCTTAAACTTCTTCTTCACAAAATAGTTTGTTAAACTTTTTTTTTTACACCACGAGAGATACTTTTACAAATTGAGGGACACATTTTCCCTATAAATTCAGGGGGAAAACAAAGCCCTGCTGCCCATACCGCACTTACAATCAACCCGTCAAGCCTCGCGCGGTTTGTTTGGTGACGCTGTTACCTCGGCAGTGGTGCACAAGCGCGTATAACACACAAACGCGTCGAGGAGCACGGCAGGCAAACACCATCATCGCGCCAACTCCGGTCATCCTCGCAGAAGCACCAACAGCGGCAGTGGCGTCTCCTGGCTGGCCATCGAATCATAAGACTGTGGTCACCGCATCGCGTGCTTTCAGATGCGCTTCTGCGGCCGTCTGGAATGCTCTTCCTTCCGATGTTAGGAAGCCTTTGGAGCTGTGCGCCTTTCCGATCATCCAGATTGACAAACTAATTTCTTCAGAACTGGCTTTTGCGTTTTAGTTTTGTCGCCCTTCCGTGAAACTCCGATTAGCACGGTTGGCTACGTACGGTGCGAAAGAAGTTCAACAAACATACACTCTGATTTAAAGCTTTCGTGACTGCAGTAATTCATATTCTTAGCTATTTCGGTAAAGTCACGTTGAAGGGAAACAATAAAAGAATAAAATATATATAAAACAATAAAAAAATATTGTTTCCCTTCAACGTGACTTTACCGAAATAGCTAAGAATATACATACACTCACCCACTCACTGACCAACTCACGGTTGGCTACGTACGGTGCGAAAGAAGTTCAACACACATACACTCACCCACTCACGGTTGGCTACGTATGGTGCAAAAGAAGTTCAACACACATACACTCACCCACTCACGGTTGGCTACGTATGGTGCAAAAGAAGTTCAACACACATACACTCACCCACTCACGGTTGGCTACGTACGGTGCAAAAGAAGTTCAACACACATACACCCACCCACTCACGGTTGGCTACGTATGGTGCAAAAGAAGTTCAACATACACTCACTCACCCACTCACGGTTGGCTACGTACGGTGCAAAAGAAGTTCAACATTAATACACTCACCCACTCACGGTTGGCTACGTACGGTGCGAAAGAAGTTCAACGTACATACAAGCCTCAACACATTTGTTGATGACACCGTGTGGCCTTAAAAGGGAAAAAAATATATAAAAGGATGTAAATAAATAAGTAACCATTGCTCTAGACGATAACCATTTTACGTGTGTTCCTTTTAAGGCCACATACACACCGTGGCATTGACGAATGTGTTGAATTCTTTTTATATTTCTTACACAGATTCACATCATACGGACGCAGACAATCTCTCACCTATTGTGCGAGCTGTAAAAGCGAGTTAAACGAGGCGTACGTACGTGCATACACAGTAGGGAGAGGTACGGCACAGGGGGCTCCGATGAGTTGGCCCGTCTCCGTGCCTTCGGCGTGTGCCAGCTCATCCAGAAACGGAGGAGGAGGAGGAGGAGCGGGTGGAGTTCTAGCAGCTTGAGCTACGCCAAGGTGCACCAGCCGTGACCCACCGAGACCTTTGACACAGACAGGTCCTCGGACTCGGAATTTCGATAGGGACGAGCGGCGACAACGGACAGCGAGCCGCCGACTTGGCGGGGTGCTCGCCAAGGCAAGCTCCCTCGGCAGCAATCCGGGCAGAAATTCACACAGGCGTGCCGGGGCGGCACACCGCAGATGGCACGCCGCCGTCAAGTTCTATTTCAAGGAGAACGCCCGCGCGGCTTGGGCGTTGCTATCTATAGATGCGGCAGTGTAAACCTCGTGTATTTGTGGCACCGGCGGTGCTCAAGAGTAACAAGAGCATCCACGAGCACAGTTTCAAAATGGTTTGCCTGTGATCAAAGCGCACGAATTGTGCCCCTGATCTAGTCAGATCATGGAAGCTAAGCTGGTCTGAGCCTGGACACTATGGTATGTATGTATGTTGAACTTCTTTTGCACCGCACGTAGCCAACCGTTCTGATCGGAGGTGCGGGTTGAACCTCTTTCACACCGCACGTAGCCAACCGTGCTAATCGGAGGTGTGGGTCAAACTTCTTTCGCACCATACGTAGCCAAGCGTGCTAATTAGAGGTACGGATGAACACCAGGCAGCAGAGGGCAGAAGGGAAAAATCTCTAGCACTCCTGTTCCATGCTCTAACATCTATGCTCCCCACATTGGCCAACGTGGACAAATATGGTCAAATAACTCCCCCACGACCTGCCTGGCACGAGCAGGGCCTCATCCAGCAGTGGATGGACAAAGAGGGGGCTTGTGTGCACGTGCACCCACTGGCAGAGCCAGTGGGGGGTGAGAGGTGGCACGTGCCCCCCCAATGATCCGATCGAAATCCCTAAATTCGATCGGATCATTGGGGTTTATTAATAATAAATCAGCATTTTGCGACCCCCACTGCCACTGTGTAGCATTTTATTACATGCCAGGGACTCTAAAAGATGATAGGACAAGAGTCCATAATCGGCAATAAGTAACAGCAAAGCAGTTACAGTATAAGTGACTCACAGAATTGTGCGCAGTCGCGTATACAGTACACGACTTCCCTGAAGGCATCGACACCTTCAGCGAGCGCGATGCCGATCACACAACGCGGTTCGAATTCGACTCTCGATCGATGGCTGTGCCATCGCCGCACACGTGTCGAATAAAAAGCAAGGGACAAGTCCTTACTTACTAACAACTCCTCTATCATTTTTCATTGCTGGAGGGGTTGCCCCCTCTACCTGAAAATCCTGGCTCCGCAATTAAGTGTAACCCCCAACACATGCGGTACAAAAAATAAATATTCTCACGTGCACAACCTTGCACCTGTTGTATTTTCAAAAGGGCCGACAGTTGTCCCCAAAAGAGACCACTGCTGGCCACTGGGCTTAATTTGTTTAATGAATTGGGCGTTAAAGTTGGAATGGCATCAACACACGCTGTTGGCTGTTATATTCACTCATGAATCCTAATGAGTTAGGCACAGTGTTATGGTCCGGGCACCATTGCTGACCATACGCCTCTCTGGGATTCCTTGCTTGGAGTCACATGTTTTGACCTGTTAAACATTTGTCTACGGCCTTGCTACGGGAATGGCCCTGAGGTAGATGACGCTAAACAAAAAACGCATGCAGAGCCATCAAAACAGCCACAAATACTGTCCATTTTTTTTATAGAATGATATTTATATCACCAAACAAAGCTATATATTAATTTGTATTATAAAGCAGTTCCACACCGCCCAAATAATTGCCTATATTTTTTTTCCTTTTAATGCAGTATTATTTACGAATGTGTTCAGTTAGGTTTTTTGTTTGTCAATCGTGCACCCACTGCCAACGCAGCAGCAGCAGCAGCATCATCACCAAATAACGCATCTATTCTGTCGGTGTGTATATATGGTCAATCGTAAATGCCCACGACAAAAAAAATCATCCCGAATGCAACCTGTCAGATCTTGCGAGCTAAGCGAGGCTTTTTTTTTTCTGGGGCCTGTTTCTGGGGCCTGTTTGACGCTGCACTTTGATCGGTGCCCACCGCGGCTTGCTGGCGGTTGTATTGGGATTGGGGTGCCAAAGTGTCCAGGACATGACAGTACTGAGTGCCCTCTCCCCCCCCTCCCTTCATGTCCCTCTCCCCCCACTCCACCCATCCTCCCTCCCCTCCTGTAGGTGGGTGAGCTTTCTCCGAGTTCTCTCGTTTCCTCCCATATATCCCAAACACCTCATTCAATGGGATTAGCCAAAAGATCTCATCGCGGGGTTAAACATGTGGCATTTATTATAAACTCGCGGGAAGTATCCGGCGTTGCCCGTGTGAAAAAGACACACACACACACAGATCGACTTACACACACACACTGACATCAACCCACACACACAAAACATCGACTTACACACAAAACATCGACTTACACACAAAACATCGACTTACACACACACATATGTACTTACACACACACACAGATCGACTTACACACACACACTGACATCAACCCACACACACAAAACATTGACTTACACACAAAACATCGACTTACACACAAAACATCGACTTACACACACACATATGTACTTACACACACACACACATATCGACGAACACACACATGGACCCAAGCAAACACATCGACTTACACACACACAATACATTTACTCCCATATATCCCAAACACCTCATTCAATGGGATTAGCCAAAAAATCGTATGGCAGTGTTAAACATGTGCCATTTATTATAAATTGGCATACGAATTCATCGCTGGGGGATATTGTGAATAGTCTTATGAAACAATGATATAATTATTTTCACGAACCAGACTGCGGTTATTTCATTGCATCACCCGGAATGTTACGTATATGATCCCCAAATATTGATCTTGTGGTTTCAGGGTTCACGTGAGCACCTTTAATCTTGAGGAGACCTCAATGAAACACCCTTATAATGGAAACGCAGAGCTTTTTACACTAACATTAGCAGCAAACCCAGTTAAACACGGAACGTTGGGCCAACGTATTGTCAACGTTGGCCCAACGGATTCCATCCAACCACCTGGGCAACGTTGAATCGGAATCAGAATCTTCACTTAGACTGGAGGAATGCGATGAGCTATGAAGTTATTTTTCATGGACGGGGCAAAGCGTTGCACGTTCACTGCGAAAGTGCCTTGAGAACTGTAAATGCCGCTCAGGGCAGTGCATAAGCAATGTATACACAAAACATACACAGCAGACAAACTCATGTACGCATACACAGTGTCCTGTATACATGCATACAACTCTGTATATAGGCGTAAGCAAAGATATATTTTGTAAAAATTAGGTGTGGCCATTATCACTGGCTTCATATTCTTAGCTCTTTCGGTAAAGTCACGTTGAAGGGAAACAATAAAATAATAATATATATAAAACAATTAAAAATTCTCACGACGTTTCGACCATAACACAAACGGTCGTGAGAATTTTTTATTGTTTTATATATATTTTATTATTTTATTGTTTCCCTTCAACGTGACTTTACCGAAAGAGCTAAGAATATGAATTACTGCAGTCACGAAAGCTTTAAATGAAAATTTAACCACCTGGCTTCAGTTTAAACAAAAATCCGATGTCAAAAGCTTAGACAAGTTAACTTGATGGCGGGATCCCGGGGTTCCCATAAGCCCCCGGCTCTCGCATAAACCGCGTTGCGACATCATTTTACGCCTGTTGAAGGCGAACGACACAGGCAATCTATATCTTCGCGACGAGCTCTACACGATGCGCTAATCAAAGTTTCAAAGTTGTGTTTCTTCTTGTTGCGTATTCGTCCTCGCCGCCACTGCGCTTGGACGAGACACGACGTGACAAACAGAACGATCCGCGCCGGGTGGGTCGCGACCTTTATGTGCGCCGGGTGGGACGGAGTCGCCAAAAAAATAAATGAACTCATCACGATTTTGACTTGCGTTTAGTCGGGACCCCGGGGTCCCTGACATAAGGTGCAGGTATTTAAAATGCAGTCTTCAGTTTCATCAATCTGTGTAACTTACGTACATTATTTATGCAGGTTTTACCAACTCCCAAAGCTGAAAATAACCCTGGCTTATGAACAAAGGAGGCAGGCGCGCAACAAGTCCTGCGCAGGCGTGTCGGAACGCGCCTGCACTGTACTGTAATCCCAAGTTTTAAAGGCCAGGGTTCCATGGGCTCGGGCAAATTCAATCGTGGGAAGATGACATCATGTACTCCCAAGAATTCCAAACCCACTGGGGATGCGAAGTGGCTAGGAGATGGCAGGACAGAGCACATGGGTGTGTGAACCCACCTGCTTTGAGTGTGTTATCCGCTCATATGCATGTAGGGTTAATCACTAAGAAGCCCCGGCTTATTCACACACGCGAAACATTAATTATATTAACAAAAAAAGCCTAAAATCTCAATGCAGTACCCTGCTGAAGAAGCGTCTCGAGACTCATTGAGATAAGTGCTGGATATAAAAGGAAAGGGAACATTCGTCGGCAATGTCAATTTTATTTTGTTATTTGCGTATGATGACAATACGCTCAGGCGATGAATGCCAATCTCGAGCTCTGCTGGCCACAAACGATAAGCCTTCAGGAGAGTGTTTGTTTCATTTTTCTATTCCTCTTACAGGAGTGCGGATTTCCGTAGTTATGATATGGGCCATAAGTTTGGGTGTAATGGCCACAATCACACAGTGGCTTTGCCCTTGGTTTCCCATAAATAGAAGAGTTGTACCCATTAGACTGCCAATGTAAATCAGCAAATATCCATAAACTATTAGGTTTTTTTCGAGCAGAGTGTATATAACTTAAAACATTCCCGTGTATTTGTGCCTCAATAGCTCACTTGTGACTGTGCTGATGGAACTGTACACCCCCTATGTATGAACCTAATGTCAGCAATGGATAGCTCGAAGTTTTGTGGGCCACAAAATCTTAAGTTGTGCATCAACGAATGCCCTCATTATCTTAGGTAATTAATAACGGCACAACCACACCGCATTTACAACCTGTGAAAATAAAATGCACGGTGGCGAGATGTTAACTACCTCGCCTTAAATTTTGATTTAAAGCTTTCGTGACTGCTGGGATTCATATTCTTGGTTCTTTCGGTAAAGTCACGTAGAAGGGAAAGAATA